GGGGAGGGTGAATAGCAACCGTGTGTCCTGGGACATGGCTTGCTTTTGATCCTGTTCTCCAGAAGCTAAAAGAGCATGGAGAAAGTGCTTGCATATGCCGTGCATGCCTCTCACACACCAGCCAGGCATGAGAGGCATGCACGGCATGCAAGCACTTTACCCACTCTCCCTTAGCTTCTGGAAAACAGGATCAAAAGCAAGTCGCATCCTGGCACGCACAGCTGCTACCCACTCCTGCAGTACTCCCAAAGTTCTGCCCTTGCCTCTACCCTTCTGAAATTCCACCCTTCAGGAGCTGGCAGCTCTAGTGCTCCTTTTGGGCAAGAGAGCTCCCTTGCTCTGTGGATGGGCAGGGGACGGACGAGACAGGAGCTGAGGAAGCAGAACCGGTGAACAGCAGCCAATGGGACCTGAGAAGCTCCGTTCCCTGCAGTCTACATGTTCCGCAGTCTCCTCTTTTCTAAGTCTTTTTAATCTCTCTTCATATGGAACCCGTTCCAAACCCCTAATCATTTCTGTTGCTCTTTTCTGAACCTTTTCTAATGTCAACATATCTTTTTTTGAGATGAGGCGACCACATCTGTATGCAGTATTCAAGATGTGGGCATACCATGGTTTTATATAGAGGCAATAAGATATTCTCTGTCTTATTCTCTCATCACTTTTTTAAATGATTCCTAACATTGTTTGCTTTTTTGACTGCTGCTGCACGTTGAGTGGATGTTTTCAGATAACTATCCACAATGACTCCAAGATCTCTCTCTTGAGTAGTTGTAGCTATATTAGTCCCCATCATATTGTATGTATAGTTGGGATTATTTTTTCCAATGTGCATTACTTTACATTTACCCACATTAAATTTTATTTGCCATTTTGTTGCTCAGTCACTTAGGCTACGTCTAGACTGCAAGGCTCTTTCTAAAAAGAGCATCTAGACTACAACCAGTACTTTCAAAAAAGCAAGGCGCTCTTTCGAAAGAGAGCACCCAGGCAGTCTGCATGCTTTCTTTCAAAAAAGCACAGTTTGCATTACATAGCGCCTTTTTTCGAAAGAGCACTTTCAAAAAAAGGCATTATTCCTCCTAAAACGAGGTTTACTGCGGTCGAAAAACCTCCACGTTCTTTCGATTTACTTTTGAAAGAATGTGGCAGCAGTTTAGATGCAGGGGAAGTTTTCTCGAAAAAAGGCCACTTTTTTTTAAAAAAGCCTGCAGTCTAGACACACCCTCAGTTTGCTGAGATCTTTTTGAAGTTCTTCACAGTCTACTTTGGTCTTATCCAGGGCTATTGAACTATGGAAGACCTGGGGGCCACAATGATACAGCACAGGCCGCAACTGAAGTGTGGTTGCATATACATGCAAATAGCTTCTTTCACACTGACAGGCATAAATACAAAGCACTTCCCATAATGCCCCAGCACTTCTGGCACCTCCTCCCTGGGGGCTAGAAATGCTAACACCCTGTACCCGTCTGTTCCAGCCAGCCCATCTGCTTATGTCTTTCAATGCTCTCTCCACAATGCTGTTGTGGAGCGTGTTCTCAGTGGAAGCTATGTTCAAAGGATCCCCCTCCGGGCCACGTGTTGAGCCCCGCATAATCCCAACCCACCCCAAGGGCAGCAAACAAATGGGGCTGCAGGCCGCATGCAGCCCCTGGGTCACGTGTTGAGTATCCCTGGTCTTAACTATCTTGAGCAGTGTAGTATCATCTGCAAATTTTGCCACATCACTGTTTAACGCTTTCTCTAGATCATTTATAAATAAGTTGAATAGAACTGGTCTCAGGACAGACCCTTGGGGACCCCCACTTGTTACCTCTCTCCACTCTGAAAACTTACCATTTATTCCTACCATTTGTTGCCTGTCTTAACCAGATATCAATCCATTAAGGGGCCTTCCCTGTTATCCCATGATAACTTCCTTTATTTAAATGCCTTTGGTGAGGAACCTTGCCAAGGCTTTCTGGAAATCTAAATATACTATATCCACTGGATCCCCCTTGTCCACATGTATGCTGACCCCCTCAAAGAGCTCTAGTAGATTAGTAAGGCATGATTTCCCTTTACAGAATCCATGTTGAACATAATTTGGTTGGGGAAAAGTCATCTATGTTTCTGACCGTTTTATTTTTTACTATAGTTTCAAATAATTTGCTCAGTACTGATGTTAGACTTATCGGTCCATGATGCCAAGATCACCTCTAGAGCACTTTTTAAATATTGGCCTCATGTTAGCTATCTTCCAGTAATTGGGTACAAAAGCTAATTTACAGGATAGGTTACAAACCAGAGTTAATAGTTCCGCAATTTTACATTTGAGTTCTTTCAGAACTCTTGGGTGAATGCCATCTGGTCCCGGTGACTAGTTACTGTTAAGTTTATCAATTTGTTCCAAAACCTCTTCTAATGACACCTCAATCTGGGACAATTCCTCAGATTTCTCACCTAAAACAAAATGGCTCAGGTTTGGGAATCTCCCCAACATCCTCACCCATGAAGTCCAAAGTAAAGAATACATTTAGCTTCTCTGCAATGACTATCATTTTTGAGTACTCCTTTAGCATTTCCATCATACAAGGGCCTCAGTGGTTGTTTAGCAGGCTTCCTGCTTCTGGTGAACTTTAACATTTTGCTATTACTTTGAGTTTTTGGCTAGCTGCTCTTGAAACTCCTTTTTGGATTTTATGTTTTTACACTTAATTTGACAGTTTAGGCTCCTTTCTAATATCCTCACTAGGATTTGACTTCTACTTTTTAAAAGATGTCTTTTTAAAAATCATAAAATCTTCGAATACTAATCAAGTGTCATTACAGAAACAGATTGGAAACTGATTCAGGCAATGAGAACTTACTCCTGCATTTCTAATCAGTTGCCAGATTATCTTCAATTTAAACAAAAAGAGAAAAGATAGAAAATTAGAAGAAGTACACAGAAAAGAAACTTTTGTCCTTGAGCATTCAGGACTACATAAATCAAATCTTCATTTGGCTGTTAACTGTAATTAGAAATTCTTCACTGAAAAATAATCTTACAACGCAGAGAATAATTTATTTTTTTTAAAAACTTTTAACTTCAGAAAAAAAAACCAAGAATTTTCCTGTACATTGGGAAACTGACAACTAAAAAAGTAGTAAGGAGTACAAAAAACATAATTGCATCTGTCCCCTTTGACCAATATGCTAGGTTCTTCAGAAGTCCAAAGATAAGAATCATAATGGTATTCTAGTTTACCTTTTCTTTTCCCCTCGCACTTTATTTTAATAAAAAAGGCCTTGCTCAGGTAATGAGCTTTAATTTTAAGTCCACTGAGCTTAGCATGGAACAGGACTGCACTGCAACAAGAGGTCTGTTTCATGCTGTCAAAATAACACTACATAATCATGCCAGTTTCAATTATTTTAATAATTTTTTTCAAAATACCCATTAGCAACTAAGGCCGTAACGGTACAGGCATACAAAAATTCTCCTCAAGAATAAAGAATTAAAGAAACCCTATGACAATCAAGTTCCTATTGCTCTGCCACAGTCTACCACCCCAGTGCCCAGCTGTGCCCATCCCCCAGTCCAGACACCTGCCCTGCCTCTCTTGCCAGAGCCCAGGGATCCTGAGGGAGAAACCTGATTATTTTGGTCTCAGGTTTATGCAGAGTTTCCTGCATG